TATATATATATATATATATATATATATATATATATATATATATATATATATATATATATATATATATATATATATATATATATATATATCATCTTTCAGTCCATACATATCTAAGGAGTTGAACGAGCCTGGCCATTGCGATATATCATGACCAAAGGTTCTTCTTACTACCTACTCAAATGAAGGGATGCAACCAAGGTTGTCTTCCTGCTCCATCAAGCAGGTGGAGTAGAACAATAACTCAACATATGAATGAAGACTTCTACTACTGCTGCAGTTTGTGTAGTTTGTATATTCTTCTACCAGCCATTGCTTTCCCTCGCCCTCCCACCAACTCCAGTTTGAATCTAAGGATTCCAGTAGTAGTTTAATGATAGAATGTGGGAGGGCAGTTTATACCTGTGATCACACTTCAATGTTCAGCAACAGCTGTTCTTGCATGTTTGTGGACAACCTACAGTGACGATGACCATCTCTGGCTGCTCCAAGGCCGCTGTGGCTCATTATTTGTACAGGTTTAGAAAGGTTTCCATTCATTAGACCGCTTTTCCGATAGAACCTACAAAGTTTTTGGCACAATAGAAAGTGCATTTAAGGCTCTCAAATGCTCACACCAAAGGAGTCGTCCAATTCAAGTATGCCTACGAAGCCTCGGTTAAAGACTGACGCTGAAACGAGAGTGTCAACTCTCTTCCCAGAACCGGACTTGACAGCTGTCATCCACGTGACAGGACACGTCGGTGGTGTGGGTCCTCCTCCTTTAGGGGTTGGGTGTTGGACACAAGTTCAATAAATGCGGCGCTCGGAATTCCTCCCTGTTCGCTTACCAACAGCAAGGACCCTTCCTCCGTCCAATCACAGCCCTTGATCATAGCGAAAGGCTGCGGGCCCCGCCATAAAGTGGGAACTTTGGAGTGGGGGAAAAAAAGAAAAGAGAGAACAAAGTAAAAGAGGAAAAAGAGGTGGCAGGATTCTTGTGGGGTAAGCCATCACCCCCATAAATACGATCCTCCGACGGCATTAAATGTATCGAGGAAAAAGAGACTACCTGCCCTGAGATTGGAGGGTTCATTGACCCCACTTGTCGAGTGGATGGTGGGCCCCACCTTAAGGTATGACGCGCGACCCGTCTCGGTAGAATCATCAGAGGAAACGAACGGCCAAGATCAGCGATCGCCGTGGTGGTTCTGGATCCGAACGCGATCTGGTTACCGCTTCGTGCTTCGCTTTCTTTTTCTCGAGGGTTGAATGAAGCCCGTGACGGTTGTGTTTACGGCCGGTGAGAATAACTCGTCTCCCTGTCTCCATATCTCTCTTAATGTATAGTATAAGGCCGGGTGCGCGAGAGAGGGGAGGCATCTTTGCCAGCGATGCCAGCGAGGATGTTGATGGATCGAGGCTTTCTCCGAAAGGGAAGGGAGTGGGAGAGGGCGAGAGGCAGTCAAAGCTGGCAATTTTCTCTCTTCCACGCCCTTGCTCGGGTTTAAATGGGCATCTGATCCCTCTGAGCTCGCCCTTAATAAGTCCTCTCGGCTCACACCGGAGAAAGCTGAGATCTTTCGGGTCCTTCGGGTGGGAGAGTGGGGAAAGGTGATGCTTTGGGGACAATGGCGGCGAGCTCACCTTGCCTGGCCACGGAGAGGAAGCACTGGTGGCTGATCAACAGGAAGGTGGGTGTTGCAGCACCGCCGTGGTGCATCTCCTGGTCTTGGCGTTCTGTTTCTTTCTTGCCTTTTCGCTTCTTTGGTCGCTGGTGTTCTGTTTCAGTGAGCTTTTGGTTTTGGTTGTTTGTTTGATGCTCGGAAGAGCAAACCTTTTAGACATGCTTTTTTGTTCAGGCCTTCATCATGAAAGAAGCAGCCATTCTTTTCACTGTTCAAGACATCCTCTGTTTTTGATGCATTAAAGATGCCCTGAAGTTCGTGTTTTCCTCTTTGTTGATCGCCATTACTGCATCAAAACCTGATCTTTGTCACCTTCTTCGTGCGAATCCTCAGGTAGTCGACAAGAACCTCCGAGAAGCCCGAGCTCTCATAACGACGCAAGAGCAGTCCAATGTGTCGACGGCGGTGGGCCTCCTCGACGCCGCCCTCGCTCTCTCCCCGCGCCTCGAGGCCGCCCTCGAGCTCAAAGCCCGCTCCCTCCTCTTCCTCCGCCGCTTCCGCGAGGTCGCCGACATGCTCCAGGACTATATCCCGAGCTACAAGGGAGGAGGCGGCGGCGGCGGCGGCGGCGGAGGGGACGACGGCTCCACTTCCTCCCTCGGCGCCGGCGACCACTCCTTGACGGCCTCCTCCGCGCCGCTCCCCCGGGAGCGCGCCAACCTCCTCTCCCCCGGCCGCGAGAGGTCCGACGGCGACCGCTCCTTCCGCTGCTTCTCCGTCTCCGACCTCAAGCGCCGGCTCTTGGCCGGCCTCTCCAGGAGCTCCTACAGGGAGGGCGAGTGGAGGTACGTTCATCGCGGTCACCACATTCCCCATTCTCAAGTCCTTTATGTTTAATTACTCCTTTGAGATAACTAACACAGTGCTTTAGGAGTCCCTTTTTGGCCTTAATAATTTGATCAAGCTTTTTCCATAACCAAGGAATGAACTTTGTTCTAACCCTGCAAAATCTTTGGAACTCTGAGCAAACTCGAAGAACTTGTAGTTGCATAGGTCAGCCATTGGGTGGAGGATCCAACTTTGAAGTCCCACCCTGGATTTGCTGCCCCCCTTTCTCTTCTCCAATACAAACAAAACCAGCAGCTAAACCAATCTTCTAAATCCTCCAAAACATTGCTGCGAGTGCTAATCAGTACTTTTCACATGTCTTGTCTTTTCTCCCACAAACATCAGCTGGACTTTTTATTACATAATGAACGGTCCGGTCTAGTTAAACCGGACCGTTTTGGTTTGTAGTCATTTTTTTTCCTTCGTTTTCAATTCGGGGAGATGTCGCATCTCGGTAAGCTCACCGCCTGTGTACTCTGCCACCTGTGTCTCAGGTATTTGGTGCTCGGCCACGCTTGCTGCCACCTCGGCATGATGGAGGACGCCATGGTCCTGCTCCAGACCAGCCGCCGCCTCGCCTCCGCCGCCTCCCGCCGCGAGTCCGTCTGCTGGTCCGACGACAGCTTCGGTCCCTCCGCGGGGGAGGACGGCTGCTCTGCTGCCCCGCCGTTTTCCGACTCGGAGTCGGCCTCCCAGCTTCTTGCTCACGTGAAGCTCATCCTACGGCGGCGCGCCGCCGCGGTGGCGGCGCTGGATGCCAGCCTCCCTGCTGAGGCCGTTCGCCACTTCACCAAGGTCCTCGACACCCGGCGCGGACTCCCTGGTAGCTTCGCGGCCGGCTGCCTCGTGGGCCGCGCCGCCGCTTATCGCGCGACGGGCCGCCTTGCGGACGCCATCGCCGACTGCAACCGCGCCCTCGCCGTCGACCCCTCCATCCCCGCCCTCCGCGCCCGCGCCGACCTCCTCGAGGCCGTCGGCGCCCTCCCGGATTGCCTCCACGACCTCGAGCACTTGAAGCTCCTCTACGACGCCATCCTCCGCGACCGCAAGCTTCCAGGGCCACCGTGGCGTCCCCACCACGACATCCGGTACGGCGACATTCCCGCCAACCTTCACACGCTCGCTGCGCGGATTCAGAAGCTCCGGGGCCGCATCGCGGCCGGCGAGGGGAACAACGTGGATTATTACTCGCTGATCGGCGTTCCAAAAGGGTGCAGGCGGCCGGAGTTGGAGCGGGCGCACTTGTTGTTGACGCTGAAGCATAAGCCGGAGAAGGCAGTGGGGTTCGTGGACCGGTTGGAGTTCGCGGACGACCACCGAGATTTGGACGCGATCCGGGATCAGGCGAGGATGTCTGCCTCAATCCTTTACAGGATGATGCAGAAGGGATATGCCAGTATCATGGCGGCGGTCATGGAGGCGGAGGCAACAGAGAAACAGAGGGCAAAAGTGGCCGCCGCCAATGCAGCGATTCAAGCCTCAACAGTGAAGACGGCTGAGAAGGTGAATGCAGCGAGGAAGGAATCTGTTTTAGGATCAGATAAGGCAGCAGTGGCAGCATCCGCAGCAGCGGCCGCAATGTTACAGAGTGTATTTTGCCGCGACATGGCGGTGGTGGGGAGCATGCTGTCGCACAGGGCAATGCCGGTGAAGTACGAGGCATTGAGCTGCTGAAGAAAGAGGATGGCGGGACGGGATCCGAGGGCATGCGGATATGAATTCGTTGTCTGCTAGCATCACTGTACAGCTGGGGGAAAAATATCTTATGGAAGGGAAATTTTGTTCTACTCTATTGTTCTTATACTCTTCTTGTTTACCTGTCTTTCGTCTTTCGATTGTCGTCTTCATCTTAGTAATGGTCAGTATGTTATATCAGATGTTTGTACAGCTTAATATTGGGCTTCCATCAATGTCTACTCCCTTCTGACTACAGCTTCATGTTAAACTCTTGTGCCTGATTTCAAACCAGCTAAAAAGACTACTGATGCAGACGTATCCACAGCAGCAGCAGCAGAGCTTTTGCTAATGCCTGCTTGACGTACTCATCTTGCATCAGCAGGAAGCGCCAGTCCCCAGAACACTGCACTGCCAACCCCATCCCATCCTTATTTTTCTGCACCACAGTGGCTTCGTGCATCCATCCATAAGTAGTCACCACCAACGTGACAACACAAGTCCCCATCCATTCTCTCACCCCCCGTCCCCTCCCCTCCGCTCGGCAAACACAGCGCATGATTGGAGGAGAACCTGATTCTTGCAAGCCCAAGCAAACCGTAAGGAGAACTCGCTGCAGCACTGAGGCACCACTAATCTGCAGGTTAATTTAGGTGGAGATGCAAGCCTTCATGGCTGCTAGGGTTCCAAACGCATGCAGCAGATGTGATGGATCGTCCTCGTTTCGCGTAAAGCTGTGTCCGTGACGTGCTCCCCATCGTGTTTCGGGCACACAACCCTAGACGGGAGACGTGCTCTCCACATGCGTCCCTGTCATGGTGTTCACTGTTGTCCAGGTGTTCCACACCCCCTCCTGGAGCTCTCGTACATGAGAGGTCTTGGGAGGTGCTCCTTTGTTGTCCGCAAACCTGAGCGCGAGTCAGTGAGGCAGGCAATAATGGTGCTAATTTAAAGACACTTGCGAGAGGACGTGATGATGATAACTTGGACAGCACAAAGCTGATGTCCACATGCGTCTCATCACAGTGAGGTAACCAAAGACACATAAAATACTCTCTTATCCTGACAGTAAGAAGCTGGGAAATAAAAGATTCAAGGTCAATCAAACACTAACATAATAAAGAGTATTTGGTGGTCTTAAACAGTCGATGCATAGATCAGCCAGCTAATTTTAGATCATGTTCTTGGAGTTTGGTTTAAGAGAAAACTGCATCTCTATTGCAGTGACAGATAACTGGCATTCATGGTACATAGGCAGCAGTGGATAGCTTTCAATTGAAAAGACTACATGCATGAAGTTTACGACAGCAATAGTTCTGCAATTACTCCCGTGACAAGTCTTCAATGTTGCTCCAGGAAGAAGGAATCCAATGCAACTACATGATCTGTTAATTGTCTATGCATGCTAAGAAACAACATCAAACACTGGTTTCCTCAAAGTTTACGATCATCACATACAACCGCAGCGAGACGGATCGTAGGATTAGGCTACTCATTCTATCGATTCAATATACAAGCATCATGGTCAAGCTTCGAATACTGCTTTGCAGGTAACAGTTGTTGGGAATCTTGGCTTGTGGAATAAACAACAAAGTGATGCACCTCAAAATAAGAGAGGATGATTTGTTTTACAGCATGACATTCTTATACAAAGCTCTCTGACCGAGATGTAATGATGAGAACGAGGTGCGTCTCCTCATGAGTACCCCACTCTCTCTTTTTATTCGACTGTCATGAATAGATTACTGTGAACAGTTGTGGGGGTTGGCTTGTTCTTTTGGCCAAAGAAAAGTAGCACTCATAACCTCTAAATTAAGCTTCCACAGGTCAGTGATGAAGCCTTGTCTTCACTTAAAACGTGACTTGGAGTTATCTTTTCAGATGTGTTTGAGTAGTGGATAAGGGAAGAAGGTGTCCAAGGAGCCAATCGAGTTGTGTTGAGATGGCTTGAGATCTAATGCTCATGGTGTTGGAATGAGAGGGGACAAGAACAGCTAAGAGGAGTGACGTGAGGAGTGATGATGGGGATGCATGTGGTTGTAGAATCCATTTAATATTATTTTTTCGTCATATATAAATATTGATTGGTCTTTTTTTGGTGTCAGCTTAAACTATTGCATCTCAACACTATGGTTGATTTCTCTCTTGAAGTCTTATCTATGGTTGATTTCTATGTTTCTTTGTTTTGATATAGCATATGAAGCCCAAGATTAAATTGAAACCAAACAAGTGGATTGTAAAGATGAACAAACACAATCTTTTGATATGCTAATTGATTGCATCAATCTGTAGATAAAACAGTACCTTTTTTTTTTTGTTAGTCACAGGGCATGATAATATCTTAAGAACATGATATAAGCTGCAAAGTTAATGTGTTTGGCATCAAAGTTCATGGAACAGCAAAGATTAAAACCATGGCCATGCTGAAGACACAATTTCCTCAGGAAACTCGAGCAAGGAATGAGAAATTTGTAACCTTGTCAAGTTGGACACATCAATGGATTCTTCACTAGATAATTCCGAAGAAAAACCGGGCAGAAAACGTGAAGAAGTAGGCCTCTCTAACACTTGCATGACTTTGTCCAATACACATCCAGAAAAGGCCAATTGACTGTAGATTGTCATGAGATGACTGCAACCTGTCAATACATACAAATACTCTGCATTATTATCTGCTAACATTTCAACATGTTACGAGTAGAACGATCAGCGTCCGACGTGTAATCCTTACTTGAGTAGCCGTCATAGTCCCACGCATATGATACTCGTATCTGACTGAAGAGATAAGCTTCAAAACATCAACCAGGCAAAAGCTGGGACCTCAGTTTTGTTGCTGTTCTCCTTCACAGAAAGGTTTGTTTGAACAAGACAAAGGTTGAGCTGATGACTACCTGTCAGCACTTGGATGTGTATATTTCCATGGCACAAGAAAGAAAAATAATTGAGCCTTTAGTCTCCAATATAATCTGCAGAAATGCTGGAGAAAAATAAAGTGATGCTTTAGAACCATTGGAATCAGTCAAGTTATAGAACTAAAAAGGGAACATCCAGTCCTGGGAAAATTTTATCCAAGTGACAAGAAGTTTTCAGCCTGCCTCTCGAAGCATGCCGCCAATACGCCCTACCCTTTTGGGCGACAGGATATTGAAGGCCCGGACAGGAAGTGAACGGAAACATGATTTTGACATATCTTACTAGTTTTTTGGAATTCCGACACAAATCTAAGTTCTAACAAATAGCACGGTATAATATATGTTGGAAGGAAAACAGAAGGATGCTTGCCGAAGAGCAAGATGCAGATATTTGGGCAAGTTAGGTTTAAAAGAATGCGATACTATTGTGGTGAAAATGACAGATCACAAATGCAAATATGTGGCTTCTCTTCAATCACTTGAAACTATTCATTAAAGAAGCTAAATTTTGAGTTTTACTGTCATGGTTTGTAATGAGAAGCCTGAAACTATTCCTTAACGAAGCATAAGAGAAATGTACATTGATCACGTTTTGGATGTAGAGCTCGCATTTGGATAATGATAATTATTGTCATGCAACTCTTCTTGCCAAAAAATATCTGCAATGCATATATCTCATGAGTTGGCAGACAGCAAAACTTTTAACAAAGAAGAGATGGCCATATTTGTCCCAATACTATCTAAACCGACAAGTATTAATAGAATTTTCCAGTAAATGGCAAGTAAAGCAAGCATTAACTGATCCAATTAAGTAAACAAAAAATAACAAATAAACCTCATAATTCAGAAGAGCTATATGGTCTGATTGGCCAACTGATAGAACCAATCATGACATATCAGTCATAGCAGTAAAAAAGGACCAAAAAGCAAGTTCAGGATTAAGCTTACCAGAAAGAAAAAAGCCAGATGACTTGTGATGGTAAATTGATCTCAGCGCTTAAGAGTGTTGATCACATCTCGTCATACTGTATCTCCTTTTTCTTCCACAAATTGGTCTGCAAATACCTTCAACGAGGATACTAGAATATATACAATGTAAATATGACACTCGATGCATGCGAGACAAATTACTATAATGAGTCAAATTGTACCTTAAATTAGAGAACTGAAAATTATAAAAAGGCTTCGGGATGAAAGAGGTTCATACTTAAATACAATCTATATGCTCATGATGTATATTCTTAAATTTGATATTAAGTTTGAACAGGCAAAGATATGTTATAGCAAAAACAGAAGTTAATAAGTGAAAAATGAGTTAATTTTTTGATTAAAAAATGCATTAATTTCTATTTATTGTGAAAACTGACAACTTTTTCCTTTCAATTCCAATATCCTTTGGAAGAATCTGTATGACGAATAAAGAATGCAACTGCATCAAACTACAGCAACTAACTGACAACAGATAATGCTCCCAAGAGCAATAAACGTGCTGGAAAAAATAGCACGACAAACATATGCACACGCTGAGATGCGACCAGCCTTGCAAACCGCTTGAGTGTTCTACTTCCTCCATGGAGAACACTGACAAAGCTGAAATGGTTTTGGTTGGAGTTGGTTGATCCAACAGATCTGGTGGTGACAACAGTGGGATACACGTCCTGTGTGGCCACAAGAGGCCACCACATTCTGCGACGGCGCTCCCTCCTAGCTTTTCTAATGAGTTTAAGCTCTTGACGGACCACACCACGGATTGATCTCAGGTAGGAATTTGTATCATGATCCCTATATACTGTTCCTTCAGAACCATATGCGGATGGGTCACTAAGTATCTGAAGAGGGTGGGGAGAGTTTAGGAAAGCTAAACTTGCAGCCTGCAGTAGTCTTTCTGAATCCACTGATGAATTGTCCAAGATGTAGAGGCCACTGCCTGGGGGAAGAAGGTGGTGATGCGGAGAGAACTTCTCTTCAGGTTGTAGTATCAAAAGCTTCCCCATAGGAGCATACAACAGTTTCTGTCAAGCAGTGGCACAAAAGCAAAGAGCGTTCGTTAAACATTCAATATATATTATGACATTCCAAGAAGCTTCAGAATGGAGCAAACTTTACCTGGTTCTTGAGGCATGGATGATTACGAAAGTTGCCATTAACTGCATTGAGAATCTTAGCTACATGATCTGGATAGTTGCAGGAGAAGGCTCGAGGAACAATGTCCCTATGCATAGTTATGGCTTGGACATGATATTTTGGCAATCCCAATTTGCGAAGCAAGTAATCACCACCACACATTATGGATGGCGCACCAAATGTTATAACAGGAAGCAAGGATGTAGCAGGCACTTCTCCTCGTATCAGTAACATGAGATTCACAAGAAGTGCAAGACTTCCCCCAAGAGAATGACCAGTGAAGCGAAAAGTTGCAGATTTACCATGAGACTTCAAGTGAGTTCTGACTTCTGGTAGCATCTGTTGGTACATTCCCTTAGCAGCCTCATATATACCCCTGTGGACAGGTACATCTAGTCCCTAGAGCATGAGCCGAGATCTTGATGAGCACAAGGTGAGATGCAATATTATTTTGTTTAAAACAAATTGATTAGCGCACCAAATAAAATGAGAACAGTCTAGGAAGCGCCAGAATATGAATTGTATTGGCCAATCAACATGCAGAAGTGATGTCCAGAAAAGGATTAAGATATTATGTCCATAGACATTGATACAAACTGATCTTGCACATCCAATCTAAGATAGTTTAGATTACTTTTAGAATATGAAAAATGAAAATAAAAGATAAGAGTTTTGTCCTCATGCGCCTGGGTATATCCAAAGAACAGAACAGAACAGAACATATTTGACTTGAGCTTGCCCCAAAACATGCAAAAGCCGAAGACTTTGCCAAAACAGGCCCCACATTTTCATTTAATAATTAACAATCCATGTAGACAGAACGAGCAAGTCCAGCCAAAAAAACTAAAAATAGCACGAAAAAAAGGTTTATAGATAAATTTTAAAAACAAATATTACCTCAAATTGAATGGGTTCAAAAAGAAGATTTGTTTGCCAAGAAGCCAGTGTCTCAGAACCCTGCAAATCATAAAATGAATCAAAACCAGAACTATAACTTACTTGGCTACAAGAAAAGAGAAAAAGAAGAAGAAAATAATAGAAATACTCAACAAGAGTTTTGAAGAAGGAAATTTCACCTGAATGACAAAATATCTTGTAGCACTTTTATCATCATCACATATGTACCATTCACATGGTAAGGACTGGCTTGAATTCAAGTCCTCAGCAATGGCTTGTTTCATTTCCTCCTTACCGGCTACTGCTTGAGTGACTAATTTTATAGTGGCCATGCGAGACACCTCTTCTGGACTCACACTTCTGTCTTGTTTGTCGTCGCTGATACCTTCCACCAGTTTCTCACCGTCCTTTGTCTGAGCAGCACCATAGGGCAGAGCACCCGTAGTCTGATACTGCAGATTGGGAGCAGCAGATGTACTTACGCTGGTACTATTTCCCTTCATTGTGTCAATCTCTTCTGAATCGCTGTTTTCCTCTTTCAGTTCTTGATCTTGGGATGGTTTCTTAGCCTCATCGGAATTTAGGGACTTTCCGTTATTCTCCAATGACGAAGCAACAAATCGTAGTCCATAGCATTTCAGGAGGTTTTTTGGCTGAAGGAACAAAAATAAAACATGTCTCAAATATTTTCCTCCTAGAAAAATAGAACATTCAACTAATAGAATCTAAGATGTCTGGTGAAGTTAGGTGGAAACACATTGGATTGGAAGAGACTTTTAACACTCCATAAAAGTAAAGGTCTCATCAGATTGGATTGCCCAACTACTGGAATGGACGAAAACAACCAAAATTTTCAACCTCCAAATTGGAAAGAGAAATCATGAAAACCCAATTTTTCTCATGTCTACCAACCTCTGCTTCACTTCGAAAAACTCAGAACCATGTTGAACAAGCCATTCTCTACGAGGAATTAGAACTAAACATTCAACCAATACATCAGACCAAACATATCCATGTGATGCTTTCTTGAAATTCTGAACATATGATCTCCTTCCAAACTACAAAATTTCCAGTCTTTCTTGAATCACAAAGTTTAACCAATCAGTAAACATCTCAACCTCAGAAAATTGTCCTCCTAAATTGATCCTAAAAGAAACTCTACTGAAATACCAAATATTTCAATCAGAATATGCCATAATCGAATTCTCTTTCCGTCGATTTAAAGCAAAAAGAACGACCGAATTCAAGAAATGCGTGGGAATTCCGTACCTTGATCTTGGAAACGATGTATGCCAGGCTACCGAGGTAGGCCATCTTGGCGTAGAGCTCTGTCTCCACCAAAGACACCCTTCGGAGCAACCGCGAGAAGGACTCACGATCGAACACCAACTTCTCCTCCTTCCCCACGCCGTCGATGACGCACCCTCCCGAGCCATCTTCGTGGCCGCCGCTGCCGCAACCAACGCACCGGTCGCCGTCCTCAACAGCTGCCGCCTCTCGATCGCCGCCGCCCGCCGCAGCCCCCTCCCTCTCCGCCCACACCGACCTCACTCTCAGTATCTTCAACACCCAGTTGTCGCTCCGCTGCTCCGCCGGCAGCTCCTTAAGTACCTGTGAGTCTTCTGCCCTTTCCGCGACTGCAGCCTCCTCGCTCCCCTTCCGCTTCCCCGCCACCGCCCCTCTCCGGCCGGCCCACAACCGATCCAGCCGCAATGGGAACATGTAGGAATGCCTAGCAGCCGCCGCGGGCCCCGACGCCTCCGCCGCGCTCCCACCGCCGGCTCCCGCGGCAGCACGCGGCCCCAAGGTGCTAACTTTCGTCGCCGGGTGGTGTTGTCGGGAACCGACATCACGGCCTACGGCGAGCCCTGGAGACGGGGCCCCCTTCATAAGCATCACACCGTCCATTTCTCCCACGTCCAATCGCTGCACCCCCTGAAACCGCAGCAAGCCGCGAGCTTTCGCGCAAAAGAAGCGCCTTTGGCTCCCCTCCCGCGTCTTGAGCCTTTGTCGGAGGTCGAGAAACGAAGAAAACGAGAGAGAAGGAAAGCTCGAAGCCTCAAACGACAAAAGATCTCCGAAACAGGCGGAAACACGTCCTTCACGCTGTGTCGGCAGCAGGAAGAACAAGCCAGGTGGCACCGCAAACGAAACGCTTAATGAACGCGGATGATTTAGATTATGGAAATAAAAAATCTTGTTCGATCTTATTCTACTATTTGCTATTGTCTGATCGTGTTCTCAAAACTACTCCGAGGAGAGCGCGAGAGAGAATGGCTTCCAAATAAGTTCCGCAAACGGATGGATAGGCGAACACGTCATGAGATGGAGGATTGTGACTCAGCAGGGCAGAGGCAAAGACAGCAGAGATCAAGATCAACATTAATTCTTGTGTACGCGTCTTCTTCCTTCTTTCTTCTTCCTTCTTTTTTCTTCTTCTATTATCTATTATCAAAAGAAATAGAGCTTTGTCTCAAATTGAAAGTGTTCTTTTTTTCTTATGGAGTTTTCTTCTTCAGAAACTCAAAACTTTCTTGTTCTTCTTTCTTCCTCCCCAAGTAAACAAATACGTAAAAAAAACAAAGTCTGCAGAATCCTCACTCAGCTATGAACATGAAAGATTAGAAGCGTGATGGATGGTACACAACCAGATCTAAACAGGTGCCTTCAAACTAGATCCAATTCTTCGATCGAGGAACCCGATGTAAGCATAAAATATATGATATATTATATGTAATACAAAAAAAAATTATACCAAGATTAAAATCAAATAACATTAGATCGAATTTACGATACGTATCTATTGATACCATCTGTATTAATTAAATTTACCTGAATCAGGAGTTGGCATGCAACACTGAGAACTTGGTTTGATCTCAAATATTATCGGAGTTGAATTAACTCGAAGAGTTGATTGAATTCGATGTAAGAATTATATTTAACATATATATGTTCAAGAAATGAGGTCATACGTTTACTAAAAGATTAAATAAAAAATACTAACGGAAATACAATAATAATATTATAATAGGACTGACTCTAAAATAGATAACAAGACTGTTTTTTTTCTTTATATATACAGTATTGCGAACGCAGAAGAAGCTGTAATTTTATATATAATTCATGGATGGAGGAATTCAATGATGGAGAAAGAGGACATGAATGTTCAGATGACTTCAGTCGGGAAACCAAATATGTAGGCATCGATCGAGGATGAGAGAAGGAAAAGCCACGACAACCCCCAAACCCACGATGAACACGTAGTCCTCCTCACCACCTCGCGCTTCCTCTCTCTCTCTCTCTCTTCTCTTTCATTGACCTGTGACCACCTTCGCAATAGCGACATATAAAGGTCAGACTCTTTGCTTCTTCACAACTGGTTAGGGAGACATGGTTAGGGAGATGGCGGGGTTAGAGAAGGGGAAGTGGCCGGCGGAAGAGGATGAGATCCTGGTTAAGTTCATCGCCGCTAATGGTATTGGAAATCGGAGGTCATTGTCTAAGAATGCAGGTAAAGCAAGCTCCACTGTTGTGACACTCTCAGCTTTACCTCTGATCTGCCGAAGCTGTTCTTTCTTTTTCTTTTTCTTGTCTCTGTAGGGATCGGAAGGGCTGCTGAGGTGTGGGAAGAGCTGCAGACCCAGGTGGATGAACTACCTCAGATCTGACATAAAGAGACGTAACATCACAAAGGAAGAGAAGGTCTAGTGATGTCCATCCTCATCTTGTCCTTTACCTCATACCTTCTATTTTCACACGCACATAATTTAATTTAGCATGTGTTTAGTCTGAGACCATATATGTACTATGTCTATCTAATTCCATAAAAACTCTTAAAACAAAATATTTATCTAAATATATAATTTAATTTATCATTATAATATCATAAGATGATGTTTCTTGGGTATTTTATCTGGAAATACTATCGCTTTTACCCAAGAATGCTCCATATATTAGAGTATAATTAGGTCCCCCTTCTACCAAACCAATCCAAACTTTCACATAATAATTAATTAGAACATAATTTTTAGATGATTAATATTTTTTTACTTTTTTAAAAAAATGATAATTAATTATTAAAATTTATGATTTTTTTTTTTGAAGTGATCGAATGTAACTAATATCAATTTCTATAACTCGATCAACTTCTAATAAACCAACTCAAACTTCCATCGAAGTTTTACTTCTTCTACTTTATTCTTTCAGATCCTGAGTTTCTTTTTCTTTTTCCATCCAATTACCATGCGCACATTGTCATTTCTCATGTGTCATGGAAGAACAGTGACAGTAGAAACCAAGTCACTGATCCGTGTCGAATGGGGGACAAGAGAGAGGATCCAAAGCCTCCTCGTTAAGTGCCCACTTCACGACAATGGCACACAGAAGAATGGTGGAACCTACGAAGCAGCACTGAATGCCCACAGTACACAGGTGTGGAAGGTCCCACAGTTATACCAAGACGAGACGGTGCATGAGAGATGATGACAACATGCCCAGTTGTACGGCCCACAATGCCTGATTCCCGTCCCTCGTCTCCAAATGCCAGGTTCAAGTGAATGGTCTCACAGCCTTACTTGTAATGTATGCAACAATAGTACAGGCGTCATTATTGCACCTCAGTATAGAGTAAACGCAACTATGCCTATACTAAGCAAACATGGCATGCATCACATCACTACTATATCGTCTACCCATAGAACGAACTATTATATCTATGCGAGGCAGAGTTATGAGGAACAGAACATAAAGATAGGAAGTTATTTTGGTGAAGGAAAACAAGAAAACGAGTATACAGAACGTAAAGGGAGCGTATGAGATCGTTCTTATCTTCTTTTGGGTGATGGGATCATGTTTTACCTGGAGGTGACGGGATTGAGGGCTTTGGCGAGACCATTGAAGACGCCGTAGCTTCGGGAGGAGAAGCCCAAGCAGCCTAGGAGACCCTGACGGTACGGCAGGAAGGTCCGCCGCCTCATCTCCTCCGCTTGCGCGCGGTTCGCCGTGTAGTGGCGCTCGTGCGCCGTGGGGCGCCGCCTTCCCGACCCGTTTGCCGGCCGTTTCGACTGCTTTGTTTTGTTCTGCTCCGGTGCCGGGGGCAGAACCGACGATGATGCGGCCGGAGGCGGCAATGGGGGCTTCGATTTGGAGGAGGGGGAGAAGGAGATGGAGTGCCAGAACTTTTCCTTCTCTCTGCCGTTCCCTCGCCCGCTGCCTTCGCTTTTGCTTCGGTAGAGGAGGAGATCTTTGAGGAAGATCCATGGTTTGGAGTTCCTGTTGCCCGAGGAGGAGGCCGAGTCCGGCGCCATCGCAGCCTCCTTGGGATCTGGGTTGAACTCGAGCTCCTTCGCTTCTTCCTGCTGCTCCTCCTCGTTCCTTTGACATCGGAATCGAGGACTTCGAAGGGGCGACATGGATCTGGTCCTCCGATGGATGAATCTGCCCCGGATCCTGAGGCGCCGCCCCCTTCCGCCCTCCTCCGGGGCTCCGAGCGCCGGCATTTCCTTCGCTTCCTCTACATCGTCACAGTCGTCGTCGTCGAGATCCATCAGCGGCGCGAGGGACTGCGGTCGCAGGTGGTGGGAGGAGGGCTTCATCGGGCGGATCTGGCCGTTGAGAAAGAGCTCGTCCGCGGAGATCATCGTTCCCCCGCGAGCTGCGCCGTCGAACTCAAACGAACCAGAGCCGGACGCTTCGTCGATCGCCACGGAGGCAGCGGCTGGGGAAAAGGAGTAAGGAGGGGAGGAGAGGACGTAGTGGACGGGGCTGGCGGGACAGCTGAAGAAGTAGCTTCCGGCTGCGGCCGTGGCGGCACCACCCTCACGGCCAGGGCTGGAGGGGGCGCTGACGAAGGGGGTGGAGGTGAATGAGGAGCCATCATCGATGGTGCCGACGGGGAAGGGAGGGTATTGCGGGCGGCTCTTTAGCGTTTCGCCATGGCCAGGGTTTTCGAGCTCCATTTACTCTCTCGTGCTTTAGTCCCCCTTCTCTTCCTTCTTCCGACGTCGCTCGTAGAGAGAACCAACGAAGACAGATAGATAAAGAAGGCAGAGACGGAGAGAGAGAGAGACGAAGGTAGAAAGGGAGGCGGCGATGGCAGCGCGCGCGGGATACTGTCAGATAAATAGGAGACACGCAGAAGGTTGTTACTGTTTACGAATAGTGGCAGCCCTGATTTTAACTGTAATATCGAGATTGCCACCCACTAGTAGTTTGACTAAAATGCCACAAAAGTATCAGTTAAATATTTAATAGGTAATAAAAAAAGTATATTATATGCTGATAAAGATTTTGACAGATTATTATATGTACGTATAAGCTTTTAGATTTTAAAGGGACACATAATAATACTAAACTTGAATATAGAGAAATTAATACGATTATGATGACTGCTTTCGAGAGTTCGAAGTGTGACGTTAGGAGGAGGCCTCACCCGAAGACCTTTCGGGTTGTAATCTCTAAAACTATAGAAAAAGAAAAAAAAGTCAAACTTGGGTACTATAAAAACCGGCAAGAAAAAGTCAACCTTTGCTCGACGTGAGGTGCATGATTCACGGAGTATGGGTGGGTCCACCTCGTAGGTCCGCAAGGCCCCACGTCTCACGTGCAGAGTCTCCTCGGATCTTGAGAGATGGAGAAGAAGAGGGTGGCATGCACGTCTGCTTGCTGTCAGTATCAACGTGCTCTCCTTCCCTATTTACGTTCAGAATCTGAACTATGCCCTGCGATCTCAGTATATAAAATACTTACACGTGTATGCTTCTCATCCTTCGTGCACATAATAGAAGCATGCAAATGCAAATATATATGTATATGTATATATAAACAACCATGGATTCTAAGTAATGGATGAGATATTTTTATTGTCTGGAGTTGTTCTATTAATGTAGTTTGCTTTCCTACTACGAAGGGTAAGTAAACCTTAAAACAGAGAATGAAATATTTGCCAGATTAATGGCTATAGCAGTATAAGATGCTACATGTCGATGTAATGTATGGAAAACCTATGGGCAAGAATTGTCCATAGGTTTTTGAGTTCATAAATTGTATATCATGTCAGCAAAATTTCAGGTCAAAGAAACAAGTTCAATTGGGTCTCTTAATCTTAACTGGTGCTAATGATACAACAAATTTTCTTTTGTTACTTGCACAATCCAGCTTGATTCCTTTGCTTCCTTCTATGACGACCAGACTGAGGTGCTGAGTGCAGCCCTCTCTTTCTGTTGTGATTGTTCTTGCCAGAAGATGCATTTTTACTTGTTGAAGGACCAACCAATTCTACACCTTCATCATCCACTTTGTTTTTAGTTCCTGGAGAATCTGATCTCAGGCAATCATTGTTCTGGTTTGTCTTCATAATCCACATTCGCGGTTCCATAGCTTTATCTGTCAACTCTTGAATGCAAGACTTCCTCTTTGCAGCTTGTGATTCACCAACTCTGTGAGTCTTCTTCATATTGGTTCTTCCCATGTTCAGATCAGTCAGAATTCTCCTACCGTCACCTTGTAGCTCTTCTCCGGCAACAAGGAAATGAGTCTCTTTTCCATGGTCACATCTTCTAATTCCATCATCCTCGTGGTTGTTCATCAAAATCATCTCTTTGTTTCTAGCAACACCCATTTTGCAGTTAGATCCCATTTGTTGGCTGTGTTTTAAGGTTCCAGTGTTTGGTTGCATCCTCAACTGGCTTCTCCCCACCATGCTCAAACTGTATTGTGGTACTCTTAACAAACCAAGAGCAGGATCGACTGCAAAATGGTGCACAGTGTTTGTGTTTGAGTTGCATGGATGTCGACTCAGAAGACCACTGTCCAAAGCAGCATTTTGTGGGTAAGATTGTTCCCTATGAGTGTGTCCCAGCGAAGGGGCTATATTTTTTGGAAGGAGCTTTAATGGGGGAACAAGCACAGCATTTTGGTGCTTCTGCGACCGAATGCTCCTTGGATCATGTCCTGGCTTCATTTGATCTGTGTGATTACCAAATCCAACAAGAGGATGTTCCTTTTTGCTAATGGAAGATGCTGCCAGAGAAACGTTTCCTGTTAGCTTCTTGTCGTTCCTGTACACGCCAATGATTAGCAAGTAGGAAATAGTACAAAAAGGAATGCAAAACATAGAATAGAAACATAACTGCATCAAATAGACTCATCATTTTCTTGGTAAACTATAAAGTGACTTTTTTTGCCTGTAATGTGAAGATTCAGCTATTGATAGGTAGTCTTGGATTACAATTAGCATATAGGATGAAGAGCAATCATTCAAGGGAAAGACAAACAGAACCAGTCAAGAAATTTGGTATAAAAATAGTACAAAATATGGTTTTCATGACTTTGTACCTATATAATGACCCAAGCATAAATAAAAAGGACAATGAGTAAAGAAGATTATGCCATCTCCACAAATATAGTTGGTACCAGTTCTAGGCAATAATTTGTTATTGTTTTACAATATGTTATCCCCTTCAAAAATAGTTTTATCAAAGCTGTCCTCTTTCATAATGGTCAGTAGTTTTCCCTAAATTCAGGCTTAGAGATTTGGCACTCGAAGAACATTGAGAACCAAAAGCATCACCAGGATCTAAGGTTACAAAAACAAGAACTGAGGTTTTTTTGAATCAAACAATCAACTTAGGTACAGAAATTTGAAGTAGAATATTTTGTTATGGTATTAGATGGTAATCACAACAATAATTTGAAGTTCCAGAGTCTTACTATGGATCATAGTATATGCCAACATCTGGGTGGTCTGTCTTGATTTATAAGTAATATTGTAAAATAAATAGAATTCAGCATGAACTGTAAGAGTAAAATCATCCACAAACACAAATATTATCATGGAACTATGGTTACAAAACATAACAAAAAGATCAACACTCTGCACAAGTGGCTATAAGTCAAGTAATTAATAAGAGATTTGGAAATAGCAAACTTCCATTAAAAGAGTGTTCAGACAACTAGTTATCTGATAATTAGAAGAAAATTATGGAAAAGCCAGAAACTGCAAAAATACATAATATAGGCTTTATGATGGAGTAATGACTGATCTTACCTATGATTGGGTATTTAAGTTTCACAGTCAAAGGTAAAGTAACTTTTATGCTGAAAAATTAAAATGACAATATTAAGGAAATGTGGAGTAATTACTAGGCTCACTCTTGACTGCAATTTGGTTTCATGTCAACATGCCTCCTATGATTCTATCATGATGAAACTGTTTCTTACATCTGATGCACATGAAAAATTCTATATCTTGAGAGAAAGTTGCTTACATTGATATTGGAATGTATGTGCTTGGAAAAAGGTTGAGATTGCATATTAGACACCTAACTTTTTACTGAATGCTTCAAATTTTATGGTCTACTAGATTTAGTGCAAGGATTTGACTTCCCTGATGACCTTTACAGGGAAGGATACAGATGGGAAGTGATTACCTCTTGACATAGGTCATTTTGTAGGACTTGACGGATCAGGAGTCGGGCCACTTCGGGAGTCATGGAGGATCTACAATGGTATCATCGACCCCGAGAGGGAGCCGAGTCAGAGCCACATTGGACTGATCGGCCTATTTGGAGGTGATCATCAGACATCAGGAGCTACTAGGAAGTACATGGTAAATGGTTGACACCTGCAGGCCCAATTGCTCTAGGAAATCACACAGCTACCAAAATATAGAAAATCGAGCTGTGAGATGCTGGAAAGTGATGGCATTTTGTCCAACTAACCAGCACTCCCTTTACAATACAACAATATCTGCTCATAACCAAAACTTCAAAGAAGCACTACCTACAAACCAAGTGAAGTTTTGGTATTTAGATCACCATTCATAAGGCAGAAGGATGATCGAGTCGAACACCTTGTTTGAGGTGACATTTTTCTGTCATTTGCATATAATACATGGTCTATACTGAGATGCTAACAAAGTTTATTCCTATTTCTCAAATCTCTATCCCATGTCGTCAAGATCTTGTCGTGCCAAATTAAAGAGATCAATCTCCAAACGAGGAGATCCATCCACAAAATCCAATCCTAAAATGAAGAATCTGATAAAACCTTAAAGAAGCACCCAACACCAGATCGGAGATCAAACAGAGAAGGGATCACCTGAGATTGGAATGGGCGTCCAATTCCTGATCTAGCTTGCGCCAGTCCACTCCTTTCTCCTCTAGGACCACCTCCCTGGGCCTCGCGGACCCGAAAGGGTCAGCCTTTCTCTCAGGCTGCTGCTTCTCGTCTTCCTCTCCGGCGTCCTTCCCCTTCGCCTTCTCCAGTTCTTCCTGCTCCTCTCGCTCCACTTCATCGGCCCACGAGAAGCTGAAGGAAGCCATTCTGGTGCTCCTTGCCGCCCAAAACCTCTCCTTTCTCTCGCTCGCTGGCGTTTGAAATTTCAAATCGCTGTGGTCGGTAATGGCTAGGGATTCAACTTCCACTTAGTGCGTGTGGAGCGTTGGATCTGGATCGGATGGCTGGTAGCGGACCACATCGTTTAGTGTCGGATCCCCGTATGTCTATAATATAAATATAATGGATTTATATTTCCGATACATATTGAAACCATAGTACATTGGGATGGGGTAATAAGGTAAATATATAACTATCGTGCTTGTGATCGGTTGGTCTCTTATCACGTCTCCTATCGTGCAGCTTCAGAACTCTCTTTGGACCATATCAAACACCACTCTGTATTTATTTGATGAAATTTTCTAAGAAATATTTGCATTAATTCTAAGGATTTCAATTGCAATCCTCAACTCTCTTCATCATGCATGGCTACAGGCAAACATCGACATGGAATTCATTTTGTGCATTTCATATCATCAGTAAAGCAACCAGAGGCCTTCATTGTGCTTCCTGAGAAAGACAACTTACATCTACTACAAAATTGGAAAGATGATATAGACTGAAGCCAATAACTGCTGCATATTTATGTGTAAATATAAAGTATTATATCTAATAATAATTCTTTCTATTGTTTTTGTAAACTTATTTCTTATTGATATTTATAAAAAAATCTTGAGGACTGCTTGTGAAAGGACTCCATAGTGGAGTAAGAAAGTATCCTTTTCTTCATATGTCTCAAATTATTTCAATCATTTGCTCTGTCTCATATTCGGTTATTCTGATTCAAACTTTTTTTATTAATATATATATATATATATTTATATTTCTTTCCATAAAAATAATATCATCAAAATTTTAAAGTAAACACAACTTATATTAATTTTAAATCATGGATTGAATAGTTCTTCTCGTAATATTTTAATTGTCCTAAGACATAAGTTATAATTTTATTATTCTATATCAAAACATATCTTAAATCAATTTTGAATTCATCACTATACACCACATGATACTTAAAAAATTAGAACTGAAATGAATCTTTTTTTAGTTCTTAAAAATTATCTTCACATGACTCAATCCATTTAAATCTAAGATACATTATCATAATCCATATTTAAAAAATTATTATTATTTTATTATTTATAATTTACATAAGACACCTTTTTTAATCCTTAAATTCAAATCCTTATCTTTACAATAGTAAATATTTTATTAACTAGTCAAATAATCACATCTTCTTGATAAGACCACAAGTAACAAAAAAAAATCTCTTTCACCCAAAGTCTCGGATCTATTGCAAAGTAGTTGATTATTCTGAAAATAAATATAAGATTAAAAAAATCAGTAACCACATATGCAGGTAGGAACCTATGAAAAATTATAAAAAAATAATCTTCAATATTTATGAAACATATACAAATGTCAATAACATATTGATTCATTATAAAAAAATAATAATTCTTATGTAATAAATAAAATCATATATCAATCACATACAACACAAATTTAATAGCCAGATAATAAAGACGTACATCACCCCGATGATGCACCCATATCGCACTCTCAATAGCAGATAGAGTGATATCCCTCACCCGCCCAAATGACTAACAGCCCACTAATCTCTGAATGGAATCACCCTACCTACCATTGATACGGATACATAAATATCCATGATCATTCAATTACATTCATCCATTCATTCATATATGCATCCAAGAAATAACATGATAAAATATTAGAGGAACCATGTTTGATGTATGATTTGTTACACTATGTCCATTGTTGGCTCCGCATTATGATAGGCTTGTAGTTCCTTTCATAGGTTGTACTTCCAATGTGGATCACTCATAGTTACAAATACTACATGACAACAATCATATCAATATCATAAACTTAAAAAAAGTATAAAACCAATAATTATTTCCAAATGACATAGAACTTTAAGTTCATGAAATCATAAAGACGTGAGACATCAATCTCTCAATAGTCATCGATCAACCAAAACCCTAATTAGAATAACCTAATTAACTTGAACCAAACTCAATTTGATTAGGACCTAATGAAGCTAACCTTAAATCCTTATAGAACTTATATGGAATCATGTCTAATTTAGATTTAATTGATTTCAATTAAGTCAAGTAGGTTTGAAATCATCCTAAAGCGACTTTAAGCAATCAAACTTATCTGATTTAGACAATTAACGAACACAAACCAATAAAGGAAGAGGAAATTGGACTATACAGTATAATGTTAGCCTAAAGTAAACTAACATACCTGAGTCTTGGACAGGTCATTGTACTGCATATGATTATCCCAAGTAATAGGTTGGGCTGAGATACAATGGGCTAGATAGAGGAGTGATGATGTGTCTAGTATCAATTGCATAGTTCGATGAACCTAACTTCGTGGACCAAGTTAAACCTTACTCACAAGTTGAGTTGAGCCTTACCACTAAACTAGGTCATGCTTAGCTCGTGAGTTGGGTCGTGCCTCGACACATGAGTTGGAGTCATGTTTGACTATATGGACTGAGTCGTACCTTGCCATATGGGTTAGCTCCTAGTTGACCACATGAGCTGACTCGTATATGGCCACATGGGCTAAGATATGCTAGGCCACACAAGTTGAATTGTACCTAGCCACAAGGGTTGAATCATGCCTGGCTACATGAGTTGGGTTGTACCTAGTCACATGGGCTGAATTATACGTGACTACATGGGTTAGGTCATACTTGGCCACATGGGTTTGATCGTACCTTACCACATGAGTTAGATCGTACTTGATCACATAGGTTAAGTTGTACCTAGCCATATGGGTTGGGTCGACCTAGCCTAGCAAATCAACCTTAGTCAAGTCAAAAACCAATTAGACTCCTCTTATCATATTATATTTTAATATTTTAAATTATTAAATAATAACTCAAATCCATATATTAAAAATTTTAAATTCGTAATCTTAAATTTAAGACTAATTAAATCATAGAAATTCATAATTCTTAAAACACATATACCTCTGATTAAATAAATTAAAATTATTATATTAATCTAAAAATAAAAATTTAAATAAGTAAATCAATCTTGAAATTCATTATAAGTCAAATGATCATTCTAGCATTATCATCATAAAATTTTAAAATTAAAATATTAGTATACATCATAAAAATATAACAGTTGATTAAAAAAGAATAGACGATCCTACCTCTTTTCGACTATCGTCTCTTTAGGATCATCTTCTCAGAAAATCCTCTACTCAATCCTCCCAATGTAAAGCTCGGTGGAGAATAAGAAATGAGGAGCCCCTTTATATAAGAGAATATGATATCTCCCCGAAAGGTAAGTAGTAATTTACCTTTATATAAGAGAATATGATATCTCCTCGAAAGGTAAGTAATAATTTAATTTTTATTTTTCCTTCGCATATAAAGATAAAAATATAATATTTATTTCTTATGATTTACACAAAAATAGAATATAAACTATTTACTTCCTAAAAATCACGTTACTTATTAGGAAATAAATCAATTTATAATTTAATCGATTAGTAAAATTTCTAACTTGTGCATGTGATTAAGGAAATCAATTTTAATCATTTTCTTAACCATAGTACACAAACAAGAAAATTAATAATTTAAATAAAATAATATATTATTTATAATAATTAACTTATGTTAAGAATAAATTATCAATTATTATATAAATAGACATTCAATTCACGATCAATTATCAGATGTTAAAAAAGAAATCTTCTCCTTACAATCTTTAGTCGTCCTTTTTGGCTTTTCTCATACAATCTAGGAGTTGGTTTAGGTCAGTGACACAATAGGTAACTATGCTGGGTAGAATTTCTATAGTCATCTGCAATGTGTGTGGGATAACCACTATCTTAAGATAGTTTCCTGGAAACACCAGTCCTACTCTCTTAAAATTTATTTTCTTCTAAAAATCTTGAGATTTATCTACTAAATCTTTTTTGCCTCATGATATATATAAAGGTTTACTACAATGCTTACATACAATGTCATAAATGGCTCAAAGTAGATTGGAAGATTGATTTGCCATTTTGATCAGTTCAAAAGCAACCTAACTCAACACATGATGAAGGTTACAGAGAGCATTTGCTAATCAAAGCCTAAATATCTACAAGAGAAATAAAAGAGAAGGAGAACTACTTACATGGAAGAAACAGGTTTGCTCAGAATTAGTGAATTGTCTCAAAATGGTCAATATGAGATTTGGATCACTTGCCTAAGACATCTCAAAGTGTTTCAGCTTATATAATGCAATTCTCACTCTCAGCAAGGAAATCAAAAAGTTACTCAATGTATATTCATCAAAAAATATGTTTCTTACTTGTACATGTCAATATATATATCCTTCAAGAAGCAACATAGAATGCATAATATTCTCCAAGGAAATATGGCAATTTTGTCTTAATTAGCTTAAAGTTATAATACTCTTGTAGCTTATAAATCCAAATTTATGAACCAATCTAATAACATCCAATGTGCCAGTTTTTGCCTACAGATTCAACTAACTAAACACAATGCTTGGAGAACCCTACTTAATCCACCATAACTTGGTCATCATCTCCCTAAAGGTCAAAGATGAGGAGGCAACAAATGCAACATGAGTGGTTGTTTAACAACATTTGTACATGATCATATCTCTCTCCATTCAAGATCAGAAACTAAGAAGCAAATGGCAATCATATGAGATGCAATTATCAATGATCTTCAATTACCCCAACAAAACTGAAATTTTAAGCAGCATCTTTTAAGAATATAAAAAGCTCCTTTACATTGATCTTCAATTACTCAATATTAAGACATTTAATCTAAAAGTTCACTCCTACAGTCTCACATTAGATAAAGAGTTTCCAAGGAGAAAACAAAGAGAATCATATGTAATAAACACAAACATATTGTTTGCATCCAAAGAAACCAATAATACCTCCATAAAAGTCACCACAAAGCGGCGCCATCCGCTTCCCTTCCGCCTCGCTCACCAACCGTGGACGAGCTCGGAGCATTTGACCTTGATCCACCGGAACCCCTTCCGGAACGACGCCTTCACCTTGCCCTCCACCGCGTACGCCTTGTAGCTGGCTACCCGCCGCCGCCGCTTCGCCTCCGGGTCGGTGAAGCACCAGGCGCTAGACCCCGCAGACGACAAGCCGCTGCGTTGGGGCGGCGGGAACGGCGGATCCCGAGACCGGCGCCGCGGCGGCGGCGAAGGATGCCGGTCCCGGTCGGCGGCGTAGTAGGAGGTCTGGTTGGCGCTGAAGACGTTCCCCTTCACGATCTCCAGCCTACGGTCTCCGGCGCCTGCGCCGTAGGCTCGGAACTCGTTGCGGTAGCCGCCGTCGTACGGCGGATGGCCGCGATCGTGGTCGGCGGCCGAGTACCGGTGCTCGTCCCGGTTCCTCCGTTCGAAGTCATCCATCTCCAGTGGGAGAGAAGGCAAAGAGGGAAGAAAGGCTTTAGAGAGAGAAAGAGATCGGCGGAGATTTGGCGTAACAATGCAAATAGTTTTGGGCGATGAGAGACTTCAAATTTAGGGTGAGGACGACTAATTATAACTGCATTTTTCGAACGGTGAAGGAAGGAGTTGGCTTGCCTTTTATTTTAATTTATTGTACTTTCTTTTTGTTGGTAAACTCCCTAATATTGGATTCTCCATAATGTTTGTTAGTTCATTATATATATATATATATATATATATATATATATATATATATATATATATATATATATATACTTTATGATACTTTTCAAAGAAAAAAATGACAATTTTGTTTGTAATTAATCCTTTATTTATAATTATTCATTATTTATCCCCTTCCAGCAAGAATTGACGGTGGAGTGAGTGTACAGCACGCAGCCAACTCAGTCGTCTTTGTTCCACATACATGGAGTGCCTTCCAAGCCTCATTACACAGAAGAAAACAATGAAATGGATGATGATGATGAACATGATTTTTTATTGTGTTAATCCAAGATCGTGACAGTTCATAACCTGTGTTTTATTCTAACAATGTCTTCGGCATCCTATGGAATCCTATCACTTCGAGATCGAGTTATGTAGAATGTTTACTGATAAGATATATTTTTGGTACACGCCAAGAATCAATACCGGCGTTGTTTGATACGTCTAATGTGTCAAGTCAGAATCCGAGAATCAACAAGGGGAGTATCTCCACACTCCAAGTCAGAATTCGCATCGAGATACTGTTTGATATGATCGTCTCGGAAGCTCGGGACAGGTTGACACTGTTTGGTACGTCCATCACGTCAACCCGTGTACCACCACACCAACCCATGTACGATCGACCCCGATACAGTAGTATAAAGACCTCTGACCGGCATCCGGCTTAGGGGGGAAAAAACAATTCAACCCACTATTGACTTGCTCGTCGAAGGGGTTAAAGTTGGGAATCACCCGACGAAGGTCATTTTTGCAAGAAAACGACCACCCTCGACCCGCGAGCGTCATAACCTTGAAAGTCGTCGATCGACATCCCCACGGTAAGCCATCAACAAACACTCGGATCGAGAAATACTAATCAACACCCCGTCATGAGGGTTCGATCGACCTCGGCATGTAGCTCAACCGATAGAAAACTCTCGACATTGACCCGTGGACCAGGCCGTATTGACTCATCAGTCACGACACATTTGTTCACCAATATTTTGGATTTAATTAGCTGACGAATGAACTAAAATATCAAGACAACTCAAAATCTATTTATTTAGCATGCATATGTGATGATTGAGGACCCAACTTTTATAGAGTTTTGTTGCCAGAAAATTGTTAATATTGGAAGGCCAATTGTATGCGATTGCCGAATCCTATACTTGTTGGATGCATTGCCCAAAATCTTAAATGGTAAGTTCATGATGTTCTTAGTAAGTACATGTACATGGATAAGAGATGATTTATACAAGTTCTTGATGCTCTTGTTATAAAAGTACAGAAATTGGAATCCAAATTTGAGAACCACAACAATTCATGTGAAAGGCAAATTCATTATGCTTCATCAAAGTGATGGATTAAGACTTATGGACAAGAGGAAAGTTCCCAAGCAACTTCATCAAGTGGGATCACAAAGTCACAAATGTTGGTATCACTTCCTAAAGAGTGTTGGTATCACAAAGTCTCTCCAAAATATCATGACTCACTTAAAAGAAAAAAAGGCTGTAATTTTAATTTCATAGTTTATTTGTTTAATTTTAAATTTCATAAGGAAGTTTATGCTCTCAATGAAATCTATAACTCATCCATTTTGCTAATAGAGTTGAATCCAAATTGTGCATCGATTTTGCAAGAGGTTTGTATTCCTCAATTCAAAATCTTGAAATAAATCTACTCTGCTACTTCATTTCAGAAAAAAAAGAAGTGGGTAGAAATCACTGCATAATAACTCAAGACATATGAAATTAGTTAAAGGATTATTGTTTATATAAACGCCAAAATATTCTGTTATTATCTTAATTTTTTCATTAATATTATTATTAAATCTATAAGTTTAAAAAGCTAAGTAAGACATTATATATGTATATATATTCTTATATTATTCACATATGACAAGAACAAAAGAAATATAATAAATAATAGGAGAAAGGAAATGAAAGGACACCATCAGTCGGCAACCATGGTCGTTATCGCTGTCGCCTTCGCCGATCACAAGCGGCGTCGCCTGTCGCCTCCACCCTTGTTCCCACTGCGAGTGGCGTCGCCCCCTCCGACTTCGCCCCGCCCCTCCTCGACACCGCCACCTCCTCCTCTACGACCTTCGGCTCCACCCTCCGCGTTCCAACGCCACGGCCACCGCCCCGTCCTCCACCAGTTGCCCCCCTTTCGCCTTCCAGCACTGTCGTCACCCCGCCCTGCTCCTTCTTGCTAGCGGTAGTGAGCTCTTCCTCCTCATGGTGATGGTGCTAGCGGTGCAATCCTTGCGGATGGAGCTCTTGGATCGCGAGAAAGAGGGAGCGGTGGAAGGCGACACCGACAAGGGATAAGGAAGGGGGAGCGACAAAAGGCAAGGGCCGAGGCTACGATTGGGGTTGAAATGGCGTGGCCCGAGGGTGCCACGAGCAACCTGGAGGACAACGATGGCGAGGAGGAAGAGCTCCCTGCTGTCGGTGAGAAGGGGTGGCAACGCTGGGAGGCGAAGGGGGCAGCCGAAGGTCGCGGAGGAGGCAACCGCAGTGGGCAAAGGTGACGACAGCGCAATTGATGGAAGATATATTCATCAGCCTGACGAAAAAGAATCGCTTCTAGAAAAAATCCAATTAGGAGGTCAACATTAGGAAAAAGTCTAATAGTAGAGACTTCTTTAGGTAAAAGCAGACATAATAAGATTACCGTATCAGAAAAGACGAGGAGCTTACCTCACATGTATGCCAAGTTATGTGTTGCTGCACGCAAAACTTGGTAAGATTCCCAAAAACACATCAGCATAGCCACTTGCGTGTGAAAAGAGGAGAGAAGCAATCAATGTACTGTGCAATGATCCACGACAAATTTGGAAGGAAAGAATCCAAGTAGCCATTCTACAAACAAAAATTGCCCAATTGTACATCCACACACACAGCAAAAGACAGGCATAAATATGCAGGTAGAGGTTGTTATTAAGAGAGGATTGGGGGGGATGGATTGAAGAAACATCAAAGAACAACACACCAATCCGCAAGGCAAACACTTCCCCAAACTCCCAAACAACCAAAGATGGCCTATAAAAGAAACAACCACAGGATAAAATTTCAAGTCCTCTACATTTTCATTGAACTCTTTAATCAGTTGAAACTAAATACACTGGAATCAAAATTGAAGAAATATGAGTACACGTGTTTTGCGTTCTGCTTTGCTTTACATAATCGTTTAGGCTATGATGATGCTTGACATGTAAAAAAATAGTGAAATGTTCATAGTTTTTCAAGTCAGCAGGACCATAAAAAGACTTCTGATCTGCGCCCGAGGACAAATGCAGAGGGCCAGCGTTCCATCAGCTAAAAAAATAATTCAATTGAACTAACCAGGCGAAACCACAAGTTCTTCTCTAGTTACCAATAAGATTCAATCTCAATCTTCAAGAGATACTAATTTTTTGGGGTACAAATTTGCAGTCCTATCAGAGTACTGCAAAAAAATAATGACCTTATGAAGCCATCCTGATTTCTTCAGGCAAGAATAGGAGTTGCCAATATGAACATAGCTGCAGGACATGATCAAGACAGTCGATGCAGTATTACCCAAGGATCATTTGCCAGCCTAGCTTCAAGTAGCATGCAAAATCTTCTGAACCACATCCTTGACATAAGAGCTAAAGCAAGACAAGCAGCAACCTTGAGTCACAACTACTTGTTCTTGATCTGAAACATGTGAACAACAGCCAGGAGGATGGACAGGGACAGAAACCATTCTCCTATGATGTTTAATTCCACATGCAGCTAAAACAGTGTGGGTAGAACGCCTAGCAAACTCCTTGAAAGTGATACGATCTTGTGAATGAAACATTTAAAAATTAGTTCCTAGAAAGAACCATAATATCTACTAGTTATGATCAATTTAGAGGTGCAAGTTAAACAAATGATAAAAAGAATATATTATCTACTAGACTTAGCTCAACCTATCATTCATATCAACTCTACGATACAAAACAGAAAGAGGCTTGAAACAATTAAACACAAGAAAAATAGGGGAATAACATGAGCAAGGAAGACACTGTAAGGTCAAAAGATGTTCTAAAAATCTCTTATATGAATATATGCAAGAAAAACTGTAATAATCAATCTTACTTTCCCTAAGCAAATTAGCTTCAGGAAACATGCAGCTTAACTTAACATATGTAATGTCATTTCCAAAGATAAAAGCAAATAAGACTTGCACCATGTTTAGATTAATCACTTCAAAAGGAATAAAAGGTGGCAAATAAATTCTGTTCCTTTTTTTCCCCTTTCATATCTCAACTCGACCATAGAGGAGAAATAAAATATTTTAAAAATATTGGAAGAAACAGCTGACTAAAGAGCTGACAGGTTTCAAATTCATTATGCTAACAGTCAACAAATGAAAATTAACTAAAATGGCATATATATGATCTTTTAAATTCTGCTGAATATATATGCTGAACTTAAATTTACAGGGATAAAGAAGAATAACTAACTTTGATGTGATATATATATATATATATATATATGCAATTTTTCCTTAAAGAATTTACTTATACTGCCCTTTCAACTGAACAGGCAATTCACTTGATCTTGTTGTTGACCTAACAAGATATACTATATATGAGGAAAAGCGTGATTGTCAAGGAACTTAATAGTAAAAAAACTCATGCCATCATTTGCATCAAACAGGGCCTTGGCTTCTTATGTTTTTTCTATAAAAAGAATTCTGCATCTAAATAAGAAGGATACACCTAAATTCTCTTCTAATTTCATTCTGCATTTTTCTTTTTGCTTTTAAACAATATAGGTAGATAAGAATTATATATGTTTGACATACCAAGTGGAGAACCGCTGGATAGTTCTTTTAAATGGCTTTTAACCATGGAGTGGACTTGTTCCTTGGCACCATTCACATGTTGGAAACTACTGCTTTCAGTTGCACATTGAACCAAATTAGCATTAGACTGAACAGAAGGCCTATTGTTGTGATGGCACTGTTCAGCAGCTGACCCCCTGGTCCAAGAACTGAACCCCTGAGAACTATGTAGGTTTTCCCCACTATCTCTTACTTCTGATGTCATAACACCACTTGCCATGTTATCACGAAGTACATCAGTTTCTGCAGAGATCTGCCTTGGTCTACTATTGGACAACAAAATGCGTATACGTTGATGTATTGCACGTCTTCCAGAAAGAGTCGCTGCTCCAGCTCCAAAAAACTGAGATGTAGATCCATAATCTTCCACCGACCTAGGAGAGACATTCAGATCAATTTCTTGCATGGAAGGTTGACCTGATCTCTGCAAATTCGTATTATCACGAACTGCAACATCCTCCGTTCTAACAGGAGTGACCAAAAAATCACTACTGTTTGCTGCTTGATCAGTCACAATACGCTCATTTTGCAAATATGATGAACCATCGCCAGCAGACCTACAGCATTCACAGTACCAATTGCCTTCTGGTACTTCCCTTCCAAGACCAACACAATATGTGTGTGCAGGTGAATCGCAGATATCACAGAGTAACATGAGACTATCATCTCCACCTTGATGACACTCTATACATACTACATTCTCATAAGGATCCATCATTCGTCTTATTTCTTCTTCAGAAGGTTGATAGACCTTTACAAACAAAGGGCAAGGCTTAAAGGCACAATTACATGATACAAGAAATAAACAAATATGAATGATAAGTTAATGATCTAAAGGAATATATTATATTTCATGAATAACTAGCTTCAACCAGAAACTGCAAGTTATTATACTGCAATCATCGGTGCATCGCAGTACATCAGGAAAAACAAAAAAAATCCAGTAAACTAAAATAAAGAAGCACCTACAAGATTTTCTTACAGTTACCATACTTTCTTAATTAATTTCCTTGTGAAACATATATTCTTCAAAACATCATTTATCTTGTAAACTTTCTGAATTAAGAATCGGCAGTTCCCACTTGATTTCTAAGAGATTTTTGTAAAGCCTTTTAATATACTCTTTCTTGAAAATGATTAACCTTCTCGAATGAGGAAATCCACAATGACAATTTTGTAAACAAGCATGGATGTCCAAAAATGGCAATCAGTACTCTTTGTGGAAATTGAAAATTTACTCAAGTAACATGCAAGTCATAAACAGTTTAGCTCAATTTCCTTCACAATTCCATTTGCTGAGACAGAAGAATCAACAATTGATAGTATAAAAAACAAGTGCCAAAAATGGTATACAAGGTTATTATAGAAAACATGTCCCAGGCCTACTTAACAAGTGGTTTTCATCTAGAAATCCAGCTAACAAACAGGAACTACTTTTGTCGGCGCTTCTACAAAAAAAAGAGCTTCAATAAACAAAATCCAGTCACGCACTTCTGACACATAAAATGTGAATAAATGTTATGATCTCTATTCAAAATTACGGACATGCTCTTGCATCAACATGCAGTAGAGAAAATCTTGATATTTCCTCAAGCCATATCCGTGATTGCAAAACATTTAGTGGGAAACCTTAAGATGAATCACTTGTAATTTAAACTTGATTCAAACATAAAGTTTAGACCCCAGGTGGAAACCAAAATGGTGAAGCAAGAAGTACAAATGCAATAATCTTACTCAACCATGCTCTGTAGGTTGGTTGTTATTGTTTTTGCTTGTCCTATCAAATTTATTATGCAACTAAAAGTAAGATCCGTAATCAACTATGTACATGGAAGTCAGTTTATCACACCTACTCTACCTACTTCACATGCCTGAAGAATAGCATAAGAAACTAGGATAGATATTTGTGCACTATAATTGCCAGCATAATACCAGGATAAATGAGATCCCAAGTTCCAAACGTTTGACATCCTTTTTGTTGCCAAATTTTATTGGACTAGTGACAAGTGTAACATATTAAGGTTATATATTTGCATGTTCACATCATGCATTTAACTAGTGCTATGAGAGGGTAAAATTCCTTGAGCTTAAAAAATGAATGACTGAAGAGTGCAAAAATAAAGTGAATACCTGATCACGCTTTTCAACTTTTATAACTGCTTTCCGCAACCCAAACCCTGGATCTGACCTTGATGACTTGGTAATGGTCCCAAACCTCCGCTTGCAAACAGGACATCGTGACTCAACTTTTGACCATTCCATTATGCATGCAAAGCAGAAATAATGTGTGCAGCAATTCAACACTCCTCGAACTGTCATCCTTTGCTCCTCTGATAAACAGATCCCGCAGAGCGGCTTCCCCAGCTCATCGTTTTCTTTCTCCTTGCCCTTCTTGTCGCCTTTCATTCCGGCAGATATCCTCTTCAGCTGAGGCTGATCCAAAACCCCACCAACTCCCAGATCCCTTAATTCTTCCTCAGAAATCATATAATCACCATCTAAAGAAGACTCTGATTTATCCGACGAGACCATAACCTTTCCCCGTGTTCTTTTTGTGTTTGTCTTCCTGAAATATTTGTTGTTAATCTCCGGTCTATTTAACAAAACCGTGTCCCCCATGAAATCATCATCTGAAGTTACAAAATCAAAATCGGATGTATCTGATTCCACTGGCGACTTATTCTTGATAGCCCACGATGTTGAGACTTTCCTCCTCCCTGTTTCCTTAGGTTTTTTCGACTTTCTATCAACCGCAACACGATCTTTCACAATGAAATCATCATCTTCGCCAGATCTGTGTGGCCTGCTCCTTTTCCCTTTCTTTCGTTTCAAAGCCCTCGGCTTCCGCTTCTTCCCACCTTGTTTCGGATTTCCTCCTTTCCTTTTAAATTCCGAAATCACAGATGCCTCTTCATCCTCAAAATCTTGCTCATCGGGCGAGAAATCCTCATCCCCATCATCGTCTTCTTCCTCCCTTACCTCTTCCTCAGAATCCGAAGCCCTAGGCTTCTGACGGCGAGATCTAACCCCAGCCTTCTTCCTCCTCTCCCCCTTCTTCCGAATCGAAAAATCCACTCGATCCTCCTCCTCCTCCTCGTCTTCTTCCTCCTCCTCCTCCTCCTCCTCGTAATCATCGTCGTCATCGTCATCCCAAACCCTAGATTTCTTCACCCTCCTCTTGGGTTTGGAAGGGGCCTTTCGGGGCTTCGATCTCGGCGCCAAGAACTCCTGCTCATCATCCTCATCGGAGCCACCGGTGGACTCGCCGAACTCGTATTCGTCTTCCTCGCCGTCGGAAGCGAGGGGTTCGTCAGAGCTCTCCTCCTCCTCCTCCTCTCCCAAGACGTACTCCTCGTCATCGTCGTCGTCGTCGTCGTCGGAGGCCTTGGATCGGCGCCTACGCCTCCGTCCGGCGGCCGCCCGCTTGTAAACGACCCTCCCTCCTCTTCCCATATCACCTATTAAGAGTATCACCGCCGCCCCCCCCGCCCCCCAACAACCAGAAGAGAGAAAAAACAAAAAGTAGGGATTAATCGTTAAAAACCATCAAAACCAATGTTTTTCCCTGCAACGGGAAAAGAATTCGAAACATTACTGTTGATCTTTTCTTTCTTTTCTCGTTGTTCTTGAAATAAATAAAGATTCGAAATAGAAAACCATGACGAAGAATTTCCCTCATTTGTAGAAGATGAAGAAGACAAAAAAGAAAAAGAAAAAGCGGGAGAGAGGGAGTCGTAGGGAAATATAAAAGTGTGGGAGGGTGGTGGGGTTAATTGTTGCGTTCGTCGTACCTTCTCTCGAAGAGGCGGAGACGAGGACGGGTGGCGGCGTCGGCCACAGGAGAGGAATCGCGAGACACGAGAGAGAGAGAGAGAGAGAGGCGAGTGAAGATAGGCTGAGGACGAGGGGGCGGTGGGCCGCCGACTTGATGCCTGTGGTCGCTTAATCACGAGAACGCCCTCCGCGGTAGGGTGGTCCTGCGGAGTAGCGTAGACGCGAGGGAGGCTCCGGGATGCCCTCCAACCGAGGCTTTTCATTTGATGGGGAAACCCTCGCTATTGATTAACTGCCATGCCGTGGGGTCCACTCATACCCCTCCTCATGTTTGCCTCTTCCCCAATAGACGATCGACACGGAGGACTGTGCGTCGCTTGCATGTTTTCCAAGCTCAAAATGTTACCTGTCAAACCTTACCGCGTCAGTTGTTTATTATTATTATTATTATTAGTATTATTATTATTATTATTATAAACAAATTAGATAAGACCTTTTCTAAAATATAATTTTAGTAGCATAAAAAAAGGAGAAATAACAAATTTTGAATAATTAAATTAAATATTTTAATTATAATTCTTAAATTTATTTATTTTTTACCACTAAGGTATTGATCTGACATATTTTACACATAAAATATTAATTCCATGATGATGTACCAGACCTATTTATTAAAAATTAAAAAAATTTATTTGAAGATGCTAATTAATTTAACTGATAAATAATTTATTATAAAATTTTTTACTCAAATCTTCTTTTTATTATTTATCTTTTACATTATTAGGCCAATCTTAACAGAGAAATATGTGCCCCAAAAAAAGAAAAGAAAAGAAAAGCAGTTAAGATAAAATGTTCAAATGGATTTTCACAAGTAATAGAATGAAAGTTAAAACAAAAAAGAAATGTCTAATATGGTCTGGTCATGATGGCATGTTCAAAGAAAACCTATGTATAGGTCAATCAAATTTGGTGATGTTTCATAACTTGTTTCATGCACAATTATGTGGTTATAATTCACTTCCAAATCAACCATTGGCCATCCTACAGTATCATAACATCTAATATTGCAGAACTTAAATGAGGACACCTTAGAGATGCCAGCCCAGAAAGGTCAAGAACAGGTGCTGATCTTAGGATGGTCAGTAAGTACATTGAATCCTTAACAAGCTGAGCCATGGAAATTTCTCTCTCAAGAAGGAAAAGAACAACTAATAAAAATGTTGAGGATGGGGTAGTTTGCCTAACACTGAAAGAAGAGGAAGTCTGCCCTGTTCTTCCACTGCAGTCTGAAAAGTCTCTCATGTGATAACCTTTCTCTTCACTTCAATCACAATTAGTCCAAACCTTTCTTTTCACCTGCAGTCACATCAGCAAAGTTTATGGACAAGAGCTCATTCATCCTTTCAATGGTAGTTGGATTGAGGCCATGAGTGCCAATCTTCCTACTTCTATCCTAATATAGTTGTTATTTTATTTTATGATCTTAAACCAAAGATTTTTTCCCTTAATAGTCAAAGCATATATGAAAAACCCCACAAGGGAAAGATGTCAGCAATTAATGTGCTTATTTTAAGGACCTACATATCATTAAAAGAAATAAAAATCAATAGTATATGTTTTTTTTTCTCTTTATACAAGTTCTAAAATTCTGTTGGAATTAAATGTATGATTTAGTATTGATATCAAAATAGACAGAAAAATCTGTCTTTTTCAAATATGACAACCTCTCCACATGATTTGGATATGATAAAGGCTGATATTATCTTACCAATCCTACTCACTCATAATTCTCCAAGTAGGGCTCATCAGATAGACATGGTAAGACTTTTAAGACCAATATTGACCAGGCAATGGTTAATGATCTGATTTCATTTATATAAATATATATATATTTGAGGCCATTAAGATTTCTACATGACAGATAATAATTTGCTGTTTAATCTCTGGTTCTCTTACTCTGATATTAAAGATTAAATTCTTTCTATGTACTGAAAAATGATTCCCAACTAATGAGAATTTTACCTCTGCCTCAATGTAGTGCCTCAGAGAACAATAATAATTTCATTGGTCAGCCTTCATCCTCTTGCAACAGTGCAGAAAGCATTAGTACTCTCCAAAACAATCTCAACTTTCAGAGAGAGAGAGAGAGAGGTGTTAGAATGACAATCTTCACAAAATATGAAACAAATCAACTGAATATTAAGATGGTTTGGGAAGCAAATAAAGAACCCTAATGACTGCCTCACTGACCATAACTGATAGAATGAGAAAGTTAAGAGGGCATACTTTGATCAGAGAGTACTTACTGTTTTCTCATTCTCTTCTCTATTTCTTTCTCTTCCTGAAAATTATTCTGTGTGCCTCAACCAAAAACTCACCAAATAAACTTTTTCTTTCTGCACAATTCTATTTTCTTCACTGACACATCTGAATCATCTAACTAACAGTAATGGAGATCACTTCACTAAGCTACAAATATGCTCTAAATACATGCAATATTAGTTGGAACAACTAATATTTGGATTAATCTTGTATTACCTATCCTGTTCCAGAAACAAGCTTGTGTGATGACTGGGGTACATCAAAACTTTATAGGTCTTAAGGTGCCTTCCATTACAATTTTATGTAACCATGAAATCCAATCTGGCAATTAAGTTCCATAACTGACCAACTTAGGTACAGTTATGCATACATCAATCATGAACCTGCATATTCATAACACCAAATCTGAAAGAAAAAGGAAAGAACAACAAAAAAGACATACCTCAGAAGCCATTAATTTATTAGCATAAAGGTTAGAATTCTCCTTTTCCCTGCTCATAAGGATAGGAAACCAGAGATGGATCACCTCAATATATATATATATATATATATAT